TTTGACAAGTCTTTAATGTATGTTTGTTTATATTTAATCACATTGCTCTTTTCTGTAATGTTTCCCTTTGGTTTGGGTTTGCTCTGTACTATTTTTTACATCTTGAGTGTAATCTCTAGAAGATTTTTAATCTTTTATTGTATCTAAAATAAGCATTTAGACCATAGATGTCCCTGTTAATACTGTACTTAGTTGCATCTCTCTTTTTTTCTTTTCAGAGCTGAGGATTGTACTTAGGACCTTCCAGATGTTAAGCAAGTGCTCAGCCACTGAGCTAAATCCTCAACCCCAACATCTCACAAGCTTTGATAATGTACTGTTTTAATTTCCTTTCAGTTATAAATATTTTCTAATAATAGTAGTTTCTTTTTAAACCCATGAACTCTTTTCAAAGTTGTTTTTCTTTGCTTCATTTCTAAGTATGTTTAGATTTGTGATTAATCTTTTGTTATTGACTTTTAACATTGTGCTGTCATGCATATGATTTGTATGAATTTTTGGTTCTCATTTATATTTGTGTTGTAGTCAATTTTTATATATTCCACATAAGTTTGAAAATATATATCCCCCAGTTGTTGGATGCAGGACTCATTAGATCAAGCTTATTAACAGTTTAAACTTTCTGCATCTCTAAAATTTTATGTGTTTCATTTGTCAGTTACCAGGAGGTGCTTTTTAAAAAATATCCCTGGGGGATGAAGTTGATGATGACGATAAATGGTTTGTGTATTTTTTTTCTTAAAATTCTACCAAGTTTTGCTTTATGTATTTTGGAGCTCTATTGTTAAATGAAAGCCACAATACATATTTCTGGCAAACTGTTTCTTCCATTTTAATATGGACCTTCAGTATCCCTAAAATGCTTTTTATTTTAAGACCAATTTTGTCTGATATAGACCGTGGTGCCATCTTTCTTATTTACCTAATACATCTTTTCAAACCACCTTTTTTTTCAATATGTATGTGTCACCGGGTTTTAAATACTGTATGTTTCTTGCAAATAATGTTTAGTTGTGCTATGCTTTGTTTTGTGTTTTACTCCAATCTGAGATTCTCTTTTAGTGGGAAAGTTTTGATCATTGATATTTACCCCAATCACTCATATGTTTGGAAATATCTCTACTTCCTTATTTTGTATTTAATGTTTGCCATGGTTTTTTTTTTCTTTTCCTTTCTTAGTCTTTTAGTCAGCTTTTTCACTGCTGCCACTAAAAGATCTGACTACAGCAATTTTAGAGGAAGAAAAGTTTGAGGGCTCACATTTTCAAAAGTCTCAATCTACAGACAGCAGGCTCCATTCCTGGGGGCTGGAGGTGAGGCTGAACATCATGGCAGAAGAGGATGGCAGAGGGAAGCAGCTCATATGGTGATCAGAAAGCAGAGAGACAAATACAAACATGGGCTGGGATTGTGGCTCAGCGGTAGAGCCCTCACCTAGCGCGGGAGGGACCAGGGTTCCGTCCTCCGCATCACATAAAAATAAAGGCATTGCGTTGTGTCCATCTACACCTAAAAAAATAAATATTTTTGAAAAATCAAACATGTACCCCCAAACCATGCCCCCAATGCACCACTTCCTCCTACCTGCCCTAATTACCTCTGAATTAATTCACTGATTGGGTTAAGGCTCTCATAACCCAATCATTTCTCTTTGAAACCTTCTTGCATTGTCTCACACACATGAACTTTTGGGAGCTACCTCACATCCAAACCATAATATGTAGTTTTGGACTTATGTTTTCTATGAGCTTTATTTATGAATGTGTTATATTTATATAAAATGTACCACATATAACATATCACATGTATATAAAATATTTACACTTAGACATAGTTTCCTTTTTCTTTTTAGTGTTAATTTTTATATTAATAAACATTATAAGTTAGTAAGTTTATACTTTACTACCCTCACAAACAATAAGAACTTTAGAATACCTTGATTCTGATCCCTCATTCCCATCTTAACTTGGTATTATCTGCCAGAGTTTTTGTTCCATGTCATTTTCATACACCTGAAAGTTGTTCAGGCATGATTAGATCCACATGCTTAAATTATTAAAATACTAAAACAGATCCTTAAAACAATGGCTCAAATGAGAGATGTATGTTTCTTTCTCACATCACAGTCCAGTAGTGAATGGGTGGGCCAAGTGCTAGACCCCATGAGGTCATCACCTAAACAGCTTTCTTCTATCTTGTTTTTATGCCCTTCCCTCCCCAGGATTAAATTCTGACCACAACATTCTTAACCATCATATTGTACTCTTAAAAACTTGTTTTAACTACCCAAATGATAATTGCCTCTACCATGTCTACATTCTACCCTCTAAGGAGGAAGACAAAGTTGAACACAAGTAATTATTATAAGGAAGTGACCTGGAAGTATATGTGGTTGTTTTATGCTGCAATGAAGGTTGGGAAATGTAATTTCTGGCTGGATGACCAAGTTTCCATCTAAAAGTTGTGGGCTTTGTTACAGCAAAAGAAGGAGGGAATGGGCTTTGGTGTACAAACATCAGAATCCTGTGTTCTCTTCTGATGTTTTCTGTGTTTATTTTAACTGTAGGCAGCTACCCCCCAGTGACTGGAAAAAAAAATTACTAACAATAATAACCTCATGGTCATTAACAACAATAATCTCATGATCTCTCATTTTAGCAATTCCAATAAAAAAGAGAAAGTATCTATTTAGGATGATTTCTCCTGACTGGTTCAATGTGGATCATATCACTAAACAAGTTGCTTTGATCAGACAGATGCAGTCCCCTGGTAAACAGGTGTGTCATTCATCTGCTCACAGAGGTTGGTGGGATAGGCCTACCCCAAACCACATAGCCTGAAAGTAGAAAAAAAAGTTGTCTTCAAAAATCAAATATTAAGGTGCTGTTAACACCAGAATGAATGCTGAACAAGCCACATAATAGATAATCGTTAAAATTGTTCCATAGGGCTATTGGATGGTCTAAGAATGTTGTAGAACTGAATGTATTTTAAAAACTCAAGTAAATAAATATGGAAAGTGACTTGATGACAAGAGTTGTTTGAAATGCTTTTGCTTTCTGCTGTCCAGTTTAGGTGCCATTCACTCAGCACCTATGTTCACCTGTTATACTGACCATATTGTGTGCCAATTATTTACTTATGTCTGTCTCCCAGGCCTCCCATAACACACACTTCCAATTGATGGCTTCTCTAGACCTAGATTCCATTTCTGTCTGATAATGCCCAAGGCACAGAGTAGGCATCAGGGGACCAGACTTATTTAAAATGAAAGAAAGATAAATTCTCAATGACCCCCAGAAAGTACATCCCCCTTCAATTCTTGGCTCTCCTTATTGCCTTTGTAGATCATTATTTCAAAGATATTAGTCAAATCCAGAGATCTGCAGGATTGGGGTAGGAAGCATCAGAACAAATTATGTTGCTTATAGAAATTTATCTCCTAATGACTGGAAAATTGTAGCAGCCATCCTTTTATTTATGGAATTCAAATCAAATCACCAAGAGGAAAGACCCAAGTGGGAGGAAGTTCAGGAGATAATTGACTAATCCAGCTGTCTTATCATCCTGTTTGATTCCAAGGTTAAAAAATCGGGGCTGTGTTTTGCAATCAATTCCTAATCTAAACATATAATGATTTTCTCTCCCAGAAACACCAATGCCAGCTTAAATGATGCTGAAAAATATGCCTTTATTTGAGGGGAAAGAAGCTGAACATCAAGCAATGTAACTAGGGGTAGGAAGTGGAGAACAGTGTGGGAGATGCATGTGGAGAGACATCAAGGACAGACCAAAAGGTAACCAGAGAAACAAGAACCTTGCCGGAGAAGTATCTAAGTGGCTTGCTTAGGAAGTGCCAGCTATGTGTCTTCTGGGTGTGTATTTTGAATATAATAGCCACCATTTATATGCCACTGTTATATGCTAGATGTGGTAGCAAGCATTGTAAGTGCATGTTCTCATTTTACTTTTCAGAACAACATTGCAAGTTCAGAGTTGGCACCCTGGTTCATAGATGAAATTTAAGACCAGAAAGTTGCAATGATTTGCCCATGGCCATACAACAAGGACTACAAATGCTGGGATTTGAATCCCTGCAGATTGGATTTGACTCAAAGCTTTTGCTCTGAGTCCTTAACTATCACAAGAATATCACTTTATGGCAAGTATTATTTCCTCCATTTTCCAGAAAAGACCGAGGCCCAGGGATGACCCAAGACACTGACAAGACCCAGGGATGACAAAGACACTGTCTGATTCCAAAAATCTATTTTTCCTCCAAGGTAGAAGACCAAGGGGAACAGGGATGCCCCCTGCCAGAAAGTCTCTGCAGGTCAGACCCTACACTTTCCTGGGGAATAGTCCCCCTCCAGTTTACCCCTCAATTTCCCCACCTATACCCCTATCCCAGAATCCTATTACCATCGACTTTCTCCCGCTATGGCCTCTGGGCTGAAGAGGAACCCTGTGGTTCTTGGTAAGGTCTAATACACTGCTTCCCAAGGATCCTCTAGGGAACAAATAATCAGGACACCCCAGCCTGAGGCCCCCATTTCCACACATCTGAACAAGGCCTGACACCCATTAAGTGCTTGGATCAGGAGCCAGTCACACTGGGTTCAAATACAGTCCCATGACGGACTAAGCAGCACCTCTCTTTTTAAAAACATCTGTTAAGGGACAGACATTTCACAAGGGATTTCCTTCCATATTTCATCTAATATTTCTTCTCCTTCAATGATTGGCTCTATTTTACAAAAGAAGAGCCTCAGGTTCCTGGAGGTGAGGTGACCAGCACAAGGGCAGCAAGTGCTTGAGACTTGAATCTACCAAGGCCACGGATCCGCTGTTGCCTGGGAGCAGAGGAGGGGAGGAGCTGCCAGAGCTGAGGGAGGAGGGGAAAGAGAGGGCAAGCTCCCAGCAGCGCGCGCTGACGACAGCAGGTGATTTTTTTTTCTGCAGCGCTCTCCCTCTCAGCATCTTTCCTGGGTCCCCCCCAACCCCCCTTGCTGAGCGGCAGAAAAGGGTGGGGCCGCCTCTCTGCAGCAGAGGCGGCGGAGGCAGAGGCTGCAGCATCATCCAAGGCAGCAGCGGAGACGGCGGTGCTCGGTCTGCGCTGGAGGTGATCGCCTCCATGCCCTACTAGGTGGCCGGCTGCTACTGGACCGGCGGAAAGGAGAATCAAGCCCGGTCCGTGGAGCCTGCAGCCACACCGCCCAGCACTTCCTCTGCGCCATGGCTTAAGCCCGCAGTCACCTCGCTTCGCGTCGCCTCGCTCCACCAGGGTCTGTGCGCCGCCGCAGCAGCAGGGAGGGGCGCGTCCCAGACGCCCTAGCCGGGGACTCCTGGACGCCGTGCAGCTGGCCCTTCGGCGCTCGCAGCAGCTGCGTTCCCGAAGGCGTTTGCAGCCGGTAATCGAGGCACTTTACAGACTTTATCTTAGCGATAGCTCTCCCCGGGTGCTCTCTGGGGGAGGAGGGCGAGGTAGTAGGCTGATTTGGGGAGAAAACGGTGGGAATCACATTGGTGGGTAGGGGCCAGGGGCTGAAGGAAGATTCTAGAGACTTGCTTTAAAGATACAAAAAGAAAGAGGGCCAGTTTTGCATCTAGCATCATGGCGTGGCCGTGCATCACACGGGCCTGCTGCATCGCCCGTTTCTGGAACCAGTTGGACAAGGCGGACATAGCGGTGCCGCTGGTTTTCACCAAGTACTCGGAGGCCACGGAGCACCCGGGCGCCCCACCGCAGCCGCCACCGCCACAACAGCAGCAGTCTCAGCCCCCCTCGGCGCGCGCGGTCGCCATAGAGACGCAGCCGGCCCTGGGCGAGTTGGATGCAGTTGCCCGGGCAACAGGGCCAGCGCCCGGGCCTAGCGGCGAACGTGGGGCGGCGGCCTCCGCCCGGAGTGGGCCGGGCCCCGGCGCGGGTTCCGGCTCCACCTCCGGGGCAGGCCCCGCGGACTCGGTGATGCGGCAGGACTACCGCGCCTGGAAAGTGCAGCGGCCTGAGCCTAGCTGCCGGCCGCGCAGCGAGTACCAGCCTTCGGACGCGCCCTTTGAGCGGGAGACCCAATATCAGAAGGACTTCCGCGCCTGGCCGCTGCCGCGCCGCGGGGACCACCCGTGGATCCCCAAGCCGGTGCAGATCCCCACGTCCTCTCAGGCTACCGCGCCTATTCTAGGGGCGCCCAAACGCCGGCCGCAGAGCCAGGAGCGTTGGCCGGTGACCACCGCCGCTGAAGCCATGGAGCAGGACGCCCCAGGAGGAGCCGGTGTCCTGGCGGCCGGAAAGGCTTCCGGTGCGGACGAGAGAGACACCCGCAGGAAGGCCGGGCCCGCCTGGATGGTGCGTCGCTCCGAGGGGCACGAGCAGACGCCCCCGTCCGAGGCTCTAGCGCAGGCACAGGCCCAGGCCCAGGCCGGAGCGGCTGGAAAGGCGCCTGGTGCAGATGAGCGTGACACACGCAGGAGGGCCGGGCCCGCCTGGATGGTGCATCGCTCCGAGGGGCACGAACAGACGCCCCCGTCCGAGGCTCTAACGCAGGCACAGGCCCAGGCCCAGGCCGGAGCGGCTGGAAAGGCGTCTGGTGCAGATGAGCGCGACACTCGCAGGAAGGCGGGGCCCGCCTGGATGGTGCATCGCTCCGAGGGGCACGAGCAGACGCCCCCGTCCGAGGCTCTAGCGCAGGCACAGGCCCAGGCCCAGGCCGGAGCGGCTGGAAAGGCGTCTGGTGCAGATGAGCGCGACACTCGCAGGAAGGCGGGGCCCGCCTGGATGGTGCATCGCTCCGAGGGGCACGAGCAGACGCCCCCGTCCGAGGCTCTAGCGCAGGCACAGGCCCAGGCCCAGGCCGGAGCGGCTGGAAAGGCGTCTGGTGCAGATGAGCGCGACACTCGCAGGAAGGCGGGGCCCGCCTGGACCGTGCGTCGCACCGAAGGGCAAGATCAGATGTCTGTGCCGGCTGCTCAGGTCCAGGCCGAAGAAGGTGGCCCGGCGGCTGGAAAAGCGTCTGGTGGAGATGAGCGTGACACACGCAGGAGGGCCGGGCCCGCCTGGATGGTGCATCGCTCCGAGGGGCACGAGCAGACGCCCCCGTCCGAGGCTCTAACGCAGGCACAGGCCCAGGCCCAGGCCGGAGCGGCTGGAAAGGCGTCTGGTGCAGATGAGCGCGACACTCGCAGGAAGGCGGGGCCCGCCTGGATGGTCCATCGTTCCGAGGGGCACGAGCAGACGCCCCCGTCCGAGGCTCTAGCGCAGGCACAGGCCCAGGCCCAGGCCGGAGCGGCTGGAAAGGCGTCTGGTGCAGATGAGCGCGACACTCGCAGGAAGGCGGGGCCCGCCTGGATGGTGCATCGCTCCGAGGGGCACGAGCAGACGCCCCCGTCCGAGGCTCTAGCGCAGGCACAGGCCCAGGCCCAGGCCGGAGCGGCTGGAAAGGCGTCTGGTGCAGATGAGCGCGACACTCGCAGGAAGGCGGGGCCCGCCTGGACCGTGCGTCGCACCGAAGGGCAAGATCAGATGTCTGTGCCGGCTGCTCAGGTCCAGGCCGAAGAAGGTGGCCCGGCGGCTGGAAAAGCGTCTGGTGGAGATGAGCGTGACACACGCAGGAGGGCCGGGCCCGCCTGGATGGTGCGTCGCTCCGAGGGATACGAGCAGACGCCGCTGCCAGCTGCCCAGGCCACTGGCCCAGAGGGTGGCAAGGGGCGCGCAGCTGCAGATGCCCTCAACCGGCAAATCCGCGAGGAGGTGACCAGTACAGTGAGCAGCTCCTACAGGTGAGACACCGGCAGCAGCTCTCGCAGTGGGGCTGGTCACCCTTATCCTCTCCTGAAACTGCCTTCACAGACCACACATTTGGATTCCTCTCTCATGCCAGACCACGCCCGTCCTCCAGTCTCATGCCAGGCACTCTTCCACTGCATACTCCTTTCCCTTGTCCTGTGTTAAAGCTGTTAGTTACCACTCCAGCCTTCCCAGATCTTTTTCTTTACTACTTTAGTCACCTTTCCCCCATCCTTGCTCACCTCAGATCCCCACTTACCCAACAGAGACCCTGCGGGTTTCTTCACAGCTGGGTTGCACTTCCTTTCTGTTCCCTGCAACTCACCTGCTGCGTTAACTTGGCCGCTGCTGCCCCTTGCTGGCTTCACTGTTGCCCACCTACCTTGTCTTCCTGCAGGGTTCTCATCCTTCTAGAAGAATACTTTCCAAGTGACCTCTCACCCTCCTCCCCAGAACACTTCTTTTGGCTCTTCATTCTTCTTTCTTTCTCAGTCTCTGGGCTACACTCAAGCACCACACCCTTTTCTAGATTTCCCCTCAGGTCCTTACAAATCACCCTCCTCCTCTATCACTCAGACTTTGAAGTCATTTTCCTCCTGCTTCTTACTTGCTGTCACACATTGGTCAAATTTCTCAATCTTTTTCAGGGCTAGGTTCTTAGCTGTAAGTTGTTATTAATAATAGCTATCTCTTAGTGTTTTCGCTGATTTATTGATTTTAAGTTAAACATCCAGGGTATTTTTCAATACCTACTATAAGCCAAGCACTGTGCTGACATTGTGAGGATTCAGGAGGACTGCTCATGCCAGGGACATAGTGGTCATTAGTTCATTTCCATTCTGACCTTCTACAGGATGCTTCATTGCTCTGATTTCTACTTCCTAGATGCCTGGGCCCATTTCTCCTAATGAGGCATCTCCTTTCTCTCTCTCTGCCGTTCATGGTCTCCAGATGTGTTTCTTACTGTCTCACCACCAAGAACTCCGTCTTTAGCAAGGTTCAAATTCCTTGTAAATGAATGTCTTCAAGCATCTCCCTGCTCCCAAATTCTCCCTCTGCTGCAGTCTCAATCCTTTCAGTCTGTTTTCTCACCTGCCCTTATGTTTCAACCAATATCAGTTAGCTAACCAATCACAGTTGGCTGAAAATGTAACACTAGGTTGGGGTCTCTAAAGAAGCAGATGTGCATGATGAATAACTGAGCTAGAGGTATTCAAAATGTGGCTTATGGGGTCCTTCATCAGTACCACAGCAATTAGTTGCCTTCTTCCTGGTGACTGAGGGTGGGGGGCAGGTTGCAGAATTAGTGTCCTCTGCCAGTACCCTATAAGGTACCCATACATACTTTCAATCAGACTGATGTCCTCCAATGAACATGACAAACACTTTCTCCCATGCTGAGGACAAACTAGCATATGGAGACATCTTCCCTTGTCTTCCTAAATTTCACCTCCTACTTACCATCTCTCTCTTGATTAACTGCTATCACAACCTCACTGTTCTCCTAGAAATACATTGCTTCCTTTTAAAGTTCTGGATCAAACACGGACACATATCCTTTTCTTTGGATAGCCACAATGAGGTGGAATTTTCATAATATTTTTATGCTGTTACCAAGAAAGGAAACAAATAAGCAGGGAGCATAAATGAAACCAAGAGGTAGTTTTCTGGTTCTGCAATGAATTTCTTGTTTATAAGGTCCTACTGCATTCCCTGAGAACCCTATGTCTGGCCCAACATTACAGATCGCTGGTCTGTGGCTTCATCTTCCTCTTCCCATTCTACCATCCTATGGCAGGTGGAACCTCACCACCCACTAGGCAGAAGCTACCTCTTCTCACCTCCATGTAGTTAATGACAGTCACAGGAGAGGGCCCAGGTTCTCAAACCTCCTATTCAGTTTATGTTCCCTAATTTGTAGGGCTTGTTTTGTCAGTCAAGGAATGACTGCAACCTGTCGGATCAAAATTTTGGTTTGTACCAAATTTGGGTTTGTACCTTTGCTCTGTGCCTTTTCCCTTAAAACAAAACCTTAGCTATGTAATAAGCATGTTATGTTTCAGTTTGAATTATACACATATGGAAATGATTAGATTGGGTAGGGGAAGGCTGTGCTCGTGCAGCTGGTGAGAATGACTATTTTTTAGGAGCTATTAGAACTCTATCAACCTGTTAAGAAAAATCTTTGAACACCTCACAATTTTTTTTTTTTTAAAACAATTCAGGTCTTCTCTAAAATTTAATGATAATATGACTTTGGGCCACGAGTGCCTTTTTGCTTGATAGTCAAAGCATTTTGAAACATTAAGAGAACGAGTGTTGCTAAGAAACATTAATTTCTTTAATTAGCAGTTTGTGTGTAAGACAAATTTGATGTGAAATTTAACATTATTTTTTGTTCCAGAATAAAAATTAACCAATGACAGAAAAATGCACTTTGGGTGAAATAAAATTTGAAAGAAATAAGATATTTAATAAATTAAATACACTATTAGAGAAATACAGTATTAGAGAAATGCTAAGGAATTATAGGCTTACCTGGAACTTTGATTTTCCCTCCCTATTATCTCAAATTATTTTCCTTGCCATAATTCTGGATATTTACTGAATTTAAGTATGTCCCATGTCCACTGTAGGTGGGCCTTACATCATCACAGAAACCAAGTAAGACTCCATTTCAATGATAAATTTGATTTATAAAATCTTTTCTTCTGCCACTTTACATAAATCATGGTATATTTATACCATGGTGACTGGTTCCTCTCATGGGCTTTACAAGTGACATCTGTCACATGACATCAATGTGAGCAGTTTGCTTGAGAAAGGACACATAATCTATCAACATAATATATCGGTATATAACATAAAATACAATTCAGCTTTCAGAATCATATATATGCTAATAGACAGCCAGTTAATAGTATTAGATATCCTTTGAATACGGTTTTGAGAAACCTTCCTTATTCAATAGTTCGTCTGATTCATAATGCATTCATACTAGCTGGGAGTTTCACATTCAAGTGGCTATCTGAGGCTTTGAGAATATTTCACAATCATAAGGTGTATTTATTTTAATACATTTATTTTACACAGATGATATTATAAAATTGAGGAGCATGTCTTTTTTTTTTTTTTTTTTTTGAGAAGCATGTCTTCGTTACAGTTTTTCATGTTGAGGATGGATTTCACTGGGAAGCCATTTGTGACTTTAGCTCTGGCATTCTCAATTAGAAAATAGATAAGTCATAGGAGGGGATTAAAATTTCTCTCCCCGTCAACCCCATTGCCCTGGCCATTGGTTAATAGGGATAGATGGGGTAGCAGGTGTCCCTATAGAAATGCTAATGAGAAACTGTTCCTAGAAGAAATCAGCTGGGGCACCAGGAGGCAGAATTAATAAACCAGAGGCAAAATACTTGAAAAATGAGAGTAATAACAAGGAAGTCAGGAAGAAAAAGAGCCTTTAATGTCTGCCCTACGGCCTTGTGTGAATGTGAGAGAAAGGCCCATCTGACTTAGCTTGTGCTATGCAGAACTGCCCTGTACCACAACTGCCCATTTTCCTAATTGCCTCCTGCTTAAGTCCCACCAATACCTCAAGGTCAGTCTTGGATACTGAGTCTTCAGCAATGCCTTCCTAGATCCTGCTATTCAGAATTACCGTTTTTACTATCTAAACTGTTATCACTGTCTGCTTATTTGTCAAATACTTTTTATTTTTTAACTTTTTATTTTATTTTACTTTATTTTTAATTTATTTATTTATTTATTTATTTTTTTTGTGTGTGTGTGTGTGTGTGGTTTATCCATACGTATTCCACCTCCCAGATCATGGACACTTAAAGAGAAGGGCTGCATTTGGCCATTTCTATACCTCTCACAGCCTAATGTTCCTCTGCATTGTTTAGATTTGTTGATCCAGTGGGATATATAGGGGTTAGTGAACATTTTATTAATCTACATGTTGACTAATTTCCTTTTGTCTCGTTTAGTTGAATTTATTTCAGAAAATGACCAACAAGCCCTTGCTATGTATTCAAGCTAGGGATACTGAAAAATAAGTTATAATTTTACCGAGGGAAGTCATGTCCTCTTTAATTGGGATACAGTCTGAATTCCTCTAGCTTACACCAGAAGGCAGTGTTCAGATGGGGAAGGGTAGTGAGCATTCCAGGCCTGACTCTTGATGTACCTTTGCTTAAAGCCAGGGGCCTCAACCCTGGCTGCACGTTGGATGATCTGGAGGCCTTTAAAAATGCTGTTGCATGGAGAGACGCTGATACAGTTGGTCTGGGGTGGGGCCTGGGCATCTATATGTTTTAAAGCTCTCTTGGGTTATTCTAATGGGCAATCAGGTTATGACATTTGTCCACAAGGCAAGCTTCTCAAAATTCAGTATGCAGAAGAATCACCTGAAGAGCTTACCAAGATTCAGATTCCTGGGCCACATTCTCAGGCATGCTGCTTCAATAGGTTTAATGTGGAGCCTAAGAATCTATTTTTAATAAACACTATAGATAATTTTGTTGCAATTAGACTTCTGGCTTTACTCAAGGAGACACTGCTCAGAGAGATTTGCTGTCTTTAAGGGATGATTTGCCCATATACATTTATATATGGGTCAACTTACATTTTCTTTCATGTTCTTTGCTTATGTTTTATAATTTTCTCCATAAAGATCATTTCTATAATTATAGGGTTGTTGGGTTTTTTTTGTTGTTGTTTCTTTTCTTTCTTTTTTTTTTTTTTGGTACCAAGAATTGAACCACAGAGCCATATACCCAGCCCTTTAAAAAATATTTTATTTAGTGACAGGCTCTCTCTAAATTGCTTAGGGCCTAGTTAAGTTGCTAAGGCTGTCTTTGAACTCGTGATCCTCCTGCCTCAGGCTTCTGAGCTGCTGGGCCTTCAACACTGTGCCCAGATATAATTATAGTTTTTAAGTTTTATTTTTTTTATAGATAAATCTTTAACTGGATTCTATCTTTATGTA